TGTGACTCATCTTTCCTAATAGTGGCCCCTCCTTTGGTCTTTTTGTTAAAGGAATGAATCTGCAAGGTTAGCAGGCAGTGGCCCAAGTACAGACCCTTCAGCATTCTTCATCATTGGTACTCCTCTGCTTCTGGTTTTCTTCCCCACTCCTACCCCACCCTCCTAGCCTCTTTCTTGACCACCTTTTCCTCTGCCTGTGGAGAACATGGCAGTTATGAGTCCCAAGTCAGTACTCTTCAGAGCCTGAGAGTTTGCTGACATCTGCATGCCATTAATTTCTTAGGAACCTGAAGGTCATGATGGCTAGAAAATGAAAGTAAAAGTGGGTGGACTCAGGGGTCCCTCTGGGCAGAGTTAACCAGCAGGGCATGGGGAACCAGCAGAGCTGGCCTCTGTTTAGCCCCTGATTGCCCTTTGGTGCTGCCTACTGCTTGCAAGTAGGAAGACTGTAGCTCTCCACCAAGAGCTCTTTTCCCTTGAATTTTCATGGCAACAGAACAAGAGCATAAATTTAAATTCAGCCCCACCAAGCAAGTACTTAGAACTTTCTTCTTCTAACCCTTGCCCTGTAAACAGAGTAGTCAGACCTGAGTTGTCATCTGGACTCTCCCATTTACCAGTTGCATGGCCTTGGGCTTGTTACTTGATCTTCCTGAGCCTCTGTTTCTTCCATTATAATGGGGATACAAAATATCTTACAGAATCAGAAACAAGGCGTAAAGGGAGCTAGTCCAGTCCCTGGCACAGAATAGATACTCAACAAAATAGCAATTCTTTGGGTCCATAGGGTTGTTGTTTTTAAACCTCACCAGAGAATATGTTTTTTCCATTGATTCCAGAGAGAGGAAAGGAGAGGGAAAGAGAGTCACATTGATGTGAGAATCCAGTGAAAGAGTTGGGCAGAGCAGAGGGTCCAGGCTTTTCTCTGCAGAACACCTGATAGAAATTTACATGAATTAAGTGATACATTTGACAGCCTTACATAGAAACAGAAAATAAAAAGAATATAAAGTAAATCCAGTCCCTGGAGCCAAAAACCTTCAGTGCCTCCCAAACAAGCCCTGACCAGGACTGAACCTGCATTCTGGGTATGTGTCCTAACCTGGAATTGAACCCATGACCCTTCAGTGCATGGGACAACACTCTAACCTGAGCCACACCGGCCAGGGCGGATTCATGGGATTTTGAAGGCACATCATAATTTACACCTATGATTCTGATTCAACATTTGTAACAAGTGTCACTGTGATACCCAGTGCTTTGCTGGGTGGTTTCACATATTTTTTTGTTTCAGAGATGTTAAACAGAATTGATGTGGGTTGTACTCCCATTTTACAGAATACATTGCTAACTAAGGACATGATTGTGCTTCTCCCACTGGGATTCTTAGATCCTGCTGGGGCCATGTGCTGTGGATACTTAGAACCACAGACTAGATGTCTTTGCATCTTCTAGGCACTTCAGTCTTACACAGTTTTTTGTTTTTTTTTTAACTTTTACATATTGATTTTACAGAGAGGAAGGGAAAAAGAAAGAGAACATCAATTTATTGTTCCACTTAGTTATGCATTTGTTGGTTGATTCTTGTATGTGCACTGACCAGGGATCGAACCCTCAACCTTGGCATAGAGGGATGATAGTCTAACCAAGTGAGCTACCCAGCCAGGGCCAGTCTTACTCAGTTTTAACCATTTTCATTTTAAAACAGTCCTGGATCTATTATAAATGGGAATGCTAAGTTTGCATGAATTTAAGCTAAAACAGGAAACTTGACAATATTTTGGTTGTAGCAGACTTCTTTGGGTTCAATTCCCAGATTCCTTGAGATTTGCATATTTTTCCCCTAACTTGAGTCAGGGTTACTTTTGTTGAGGCCATTTGAGAAACACTGTTTCGGGTAGGATTTGTAAACTAGGATGTCCCAAAATCCAGGTAAGAGTGTCTTGAAGGGTCTTGACAGAGGAGAATTAGAATATTTTGTAGGGCGTCCTCTGCATTAATAGTCTGGTATAATAAGAGGTTAGTTTTCAGAGTAAATGTCTTCATCTCCTGCATGCAGAAACAATAATTCAAGTAAAAGCTAAACTGTTTGAGCTTTGTTTCATATGTGCCAGGCACTCCAGAGCCCTTTGCATGCATTGACTCCTTTGATCTTCACAACAGTCCCGGGAGGAAGGTACTGCATTTAATCCCCATGTTACGGTGGGGAGCCCTGTAGTAAGTGGCAGTGCAGCTGACAGAGTCAAAAGTCTGTGCTGAGATCCTTATGCAGCACAGCCCCTCCTTGCCCCACCTCTGGGCTAACTTTGTGTTCTTCCCTTTTGCCTGGAAGCCTGTTCTCCACCTCACCTGCCTGGGGGCCACACCTCCCTCCTTTCTCTCAGTTCAGTTGGAATGTCACTTCCTCCATGAAGCCTTCCCTCCTGAGGTAGGCGAAGGGCTTTCTTCCCCCCTTTGCTCTCCTCGCATTGCTCCTTGTCTACCTCCTGTCTTGAGTGTGAGCCCTGTAGGGGCACTGATCATGTCCTGTTTCATCAGTGTGTCCAGGCCTTCCATGGTGCCCAGCATAGTAGCCCCCACTGTGGCTGTTTAAGGGCAGACGTTCACACCTGCCCTTGAAGCAAATGCCTACCCATTTCATCTAACACTTCCTAAGCTCACGCATCTTGGATGTGGTGACCTGGGATTCACACTCACATCCATCTGATCCCAAAGCCGGTGCCATTTCTTTGGTCCATCCACCAGAAAGTTGCCCATGGGTAGGAGAGCAAACAGATCAATAGGATGAATGTTAGGTATAAATGAGAGAAGAGGTGGGGAGGAGGCAGGGACAGGTCACAAACTAAATTTCAGATGGTGGAGCTTCCACACCTCCATTTCCATCGAAGGGTTTCACAGGAAAAGGTGAGCATGGCTTCGGCCCTCCACAGTCCTGTTGACCAACTTCTACAGCGTGTGGATCTGGTCGCTGTGCTTCTGTAGCTGTGTTTGGCGAGACAGTAGGGACCCTAGGCCAGGACTTAGCAAGTGTCAGTGGAAGTGATTATAACTCTGGTCTGTGGGTGCTACTTTACATACCTGCATAAGGCTCATTCTTGAGAGGGTGGGCTTAAGAAAGTGGCACCAGCAGCTGTCAGATCGGCATGATGAAAGCAGACCTCCCAAGGTGTGGCCTTTTTTTTTAAATCCTCACCCAAGGATATGTTTTTATTGATTTTAGAGAGAGAGAAACACTGATTGGTTGCCTCCCACACATGCCCCAACTGGGGATTGAACCTGCAACCTAGGTATGTGCCTCGACTGGGAATCAAACCTACAACCTTTTGGTGTACTGGACGACACTCCAAACAACTGAGCCACTTGGCCAGGGCTGCCTTTTTTTCTTTTTTAAATAAACTTATTTCAGAATAGTTTTAGAAAAATTGTGACGGTAATACAGTTTTCTCACAAACCCTTATACCCAGTTTCCACTATTAACATCTTCCATTAGTATTGTACATTTGTCACAATTGATTAACCAATGTTGATACATTATTATTAACTAAAGTCCATACTTTATTCATATTTCCTTAGTTTTTATTTAATGTCTGTTTTCTGTTCCAGGATCCATGACATTTAACTATCATGTCTCCTTAGGCTCCTCTTGGCTGTGACAGTTTCTTAGAATTATTTTTTGTTTTTTAAAAAATATTTTTATGGTCCTGGCCAATTTGGCTCAGTGGTTAGAGTGTCAGCCCATGGACTAAAGGGTCCCAGGTTTGATTCCGGCATGTACCTCAGTTGCACGCTCAATCCCTGGCCCTAATCAGGGCTGGTGCGGGATGCAACCAGTCGATGTGTCTCTCTCACATCCGTGTTTCTCTCTCTCTCTCCCCCCCTCCCCTTTCCACTTTCCCTAAAAAGCAGTGGAAAAAATATCCTCAGGTGAGGATATGTGCCCTGACTGGGAATTAAACCAGCAGCCTTTTGGTACACGTGACAGTGCCTAACCAACTGAACCACACTGGCCATGGCCGCTTTCCTTGTATTTTATGACCTTGACAGTTTTGAAGAGTACTAGTCAGGTATTTTATAGCGTGCCTTTCGATTGGATTTGTCTGATATTTTTCTCATGATTACACTGGGGTTATAAATATGAGGTTTTGGAAGGAAGATCACAGGTAAAGTGCCGTTCTCATCACATCATTATCAAGGGTAAATACAATCAACATGCCTTATCGCTGAATATCAGCCTTGATCACCTGGCTGAGGTGATGTTTGGCAGATTTCTTCACTGTAAAGTTGCTGTCTCTCCTCCTTTCTTACTGTCCTCTTTGGATGGAAATCTCTATGTGTAGCCCACAGCTGAGGAGTGGGGAATTATGCTCCTCTTCTTGAGGGCAGCGTACTTACATGAATTATTTGTAATTGTTGTACATAAGAGATTTGTCTGTGTTCCCTGTTTGTTTATCCAGTTTATATCAGTATGGATTCATGGATATGTATTTTACACTTGGGTTTATAATCCAGTACTACTGTATTTTATTGCTCAAGGTGTTTCAGCGTTGGTCACTGGGAAGTCTTTCAGGTCACCTTGACTTACCCCCATCATTGTCAGGGTGTTTGGTTTTCATGTTTTGAGCACTTCCTTACTTTTCAGCACTATGAGATACTCCAGGCTCACCTTGTGTATTTCCTGCTCCAGTCCTAGAACAAGCTGTCTCTCCAAGGTGACTGCCTTTTTTAGCAAACATTTCCTCTAGATATGTTAATGTAGTTATGTGGATGGGTCCAAGTTGTTTCTTCTCTCGATTGTTAGTCATAGTCACTGAAGATTCTGGTTGGGTAAGGTGGAGATGCACCTGGGCAATCCACTGTGTGAGCCCTGGTCGGGTGGCTCAGTTGGTTGGAGTATCCCATACACCAAAGGGTTCCAGGGTTCAATTCCTGGTCAGGGTGTGTATAACTGGTCGATATTTTTCTCTTCCCCCCTTCCTCTCTCTCTCAAATCAATAAAAAAAACATATCCTCAGGTGAGGATTTAAAAAACAGATCCACTGTGTGAGAATCCTGGGAGTTGATCCCAATAGCAGACTATCGCTTCTCTACTCACGCATTCATTCTTCTCGTACCCTGCCTAATGCTTTGACTGATCCAAAAATGGTGAGATTTGGTGTTTACTCTGGTGCTTACTGTCCAGTTGGGAAGATGAGGTAATAATCGTTCTCTATTTCAGGCACTAAGTTCTCCAGTTAAACCTGCCAGGACCCTGGGTCTCATAAAAGAGTCCCCATGGTCTGGGCCAGCATTCTTTTGCTGCCATTCAAAAAATGGACTGTCCCTTTGGGAGGGTTTGTACAGAGCTTATGGCTCTAGGCGGCCTCGGGGCAGGCTGTCACTTTGAGCTGTAATCCTGAATCATTGACTAGTTTAAATCCTTCTATTGTACTGTCATCCCTCTGAAGATGTGTAACTTGAGCCCTACTGGAAACACTAACTTGGAATCTTAACTGGAGTTGGTTTACAAGCCTCTTGCCTTCTATTCATAGCTCTATGTGTGTCCCCTTCAGGTGGCTCTGTCAGAAGCATCCCAGGCATGGGGGAGGCGTGGGTGGCCTCCCTAACTCTGGCTGCTTTCCTAGTCATCAGATCGCTCTTTGAGCTACTCAGAAGGCTGTGGTGACTAATGATGCCAATTTTCAAACCCCTAGTATTTTCAGCCTGGTTTTTAAAAGGAACTCTGGTTTCTTTGTCAGCTGTCCTAGTCCTGTCCCTTCCCCCTCTCCACAACTGAACTACTTCTTCCCTTTCCTGAAAGAGGCTTTAAGATAGGAGGGAGGGCATTTGGGCTTTAAGATGCTCTGTTGTGCAGCCATTTTTTTAAGGGGCTATAGTTTGCCTGGTTTGGGGTTTCACCTCAGTGCTGATTTTTTTTAATGTTGGTGGTCTCTCCCTCCATTTTTGTGGCTTTGGAAGCCAGTCTTCAGAGAATATAAGGCTGGATTGTTGATAGGACACAGGACATCAGGTGTGAGCTAGTCTTTTTTCTAGGACACTGGTGAAAATTGTTTTAGACCGTTTGGGCTGCTGTACCAAAATCCGACAGACTAGGTGGCTTATAAACAAGCAAATTTGTTTTTCGCCGTTCTGGAAACTGGAAGTCCAAGATCAGAGTGCCAGCATGGTTGGGTTCTGATGAAGGCCCTCTTCCGGGCTGCAGACTGCCGACTGCTCATTGTGTCCTCACATGATGCAAGGGGCAAGGGAGCCCTCTGGGGCCTCTTTTAAAAGGACACTAATCCCAATCATGAGGGCTTTCCTATTGTGGCCTAATCATCTCCCAAAGGCACCACTTCTCAATACCATCACTTGGGGATTAGGATTTCAACATGGATTTTGGATGGACATAAACATTCAGACCATAGCAATTGTCCAGTTCAGCATTCTCTCCAGCTGAGGGGCAATGAAGAATGAAGTCCAGGGAAACTGGGAACAAAAGGAATTAGTGCATAGTACCTGAAGGTTTCGATTGAGGAATCTACTTCTTTCATAGGGGCTTTGAGGGGCAGGAGCTTCCCTGCCCTGTGAACATTCATTGAGAGCTTGCTCTGAGCCAGGTCCTTTGCTAAGAGTCTTACATGCACCCTCTTGCCAACAGCCCTGGGAAGTGGATACTGTTCTCTCCACTTCACATGTGAGGAAATGGGTTCAGCGACACAACACAAGGTCACCCTAGTAAATGGTGGCTTCAGGACTTGAACTGGTTTGTCGGACTCCAGCACTTGTGCTCTTCACCCATGTGCAGAAGGAACCTACCTGGGATAGTGAGATGTCTCCTCTGCTGGGCTCGTTCTCAGCCGTTCGGCAGATGGGTGTGTATTTAAGCCTTCAACTGCCCCACTTACTTGCCATACTGAACCAGGCCTATATTTCAGGCTCGCTTTACCACATTTATTTATTTATTTATTTATTTATTTATTTATTTATTTATTTTTAAAGACTGATATTACTTTTTTTTAAATTGATTTTAGGGAGAGGAGGGAAGAGAGAAAAAGAAACATCAATGACTCAGGCTGGTATGGCTCAGTTGGTTGGGCGTCGTCCTGTGTACCAAAAGGTTGCCTGTTAGATTGCTGGTCAGGGCACGTTCCCAGGTTGCAGGTTCAATCCCCAGTAGGGGCGTGCAGGAGGCAGCCAAACAATGTTCCACTCCAATGGGCATTGAACCTGAAACCTCCCACCTTCTGGTGTATGGGATGATGCTCCAACCAATTGAGCCATGCCAGCCAGGGGCTTCACCACATTTATGGGCACCTACTGTGTGTCAGGCTTGATGTTATGTGCTGTTAAAACAAAAGAAACCCACATAGACCAGCCTTCAAGAATTTTGTTTTGTGACTCTTTTCATCTGCAACAATGCCCTTAATTTTTCTCACCTTCTTACTCCCAAACCTCATGCCCCTAAGTTCTCTATCCCCACCACCCACAACAGTCTTCTGAAAATCTGGGGCCATGGAAATAGAATGTGATTCATTCATTGAAACTTGTTCAGACTCATTCATTACCTGATTTTTTCACGTGGCACCATTCTACATTTTGTTTAGCAAAAGTTAAAGAAAAAGTCATCCTAAAATATTGTTCTTTGGCACCCAGGCTCCTGAGAGCAGCCACTGTCCCTCAGGTCCCACAGTGGGAACTTTAACCTCATTTGTTGTTGTTTGGGAAGCCTCTCACCACAGTGTTTGTGGTAGCTGAGCAAGAGGAATTTGGTTTGCTGGTGTCTGATACTCAATTCTCTTTTACCCTGCTCTCTTCTCAAACACAACCTCTGTCCTCTGCTGTCTGTTTAGGAGCTGAGGGCAAGACAAAGAGGGCAGTGAAGTAAACTGCCCTCTTTTTTTTGTTTTTTGTAAAGACAGAAAAGGTTTATGAGAGGTGTCTGTTGCAGTTGTTGGTATGAATGGCTGGATGAACAGGTGCTGCTGATGACCCTGACCTTCAGCAGAGGTTCTTGGAGTCGTTCTGGACCTGGGGCAGCAGCAGAAGTAACAGCTGTCCTGGCTGGTACTCCTGGCCCCTACAGAGATCCTCCTGAGACAGAGGGAAAGGTGGGCCCTGTGTTGAAGAGATTCTGGTTAGAACTGTCCTAATTAAATAGTAACTGCATAATTAAAACAAATATAGGGTAGTTTTGAGGCTTGTGGATCAGCAGGGATCCTACATCCATCCTACTGGCTTTCACATAACTTATGCTCCATCCTGAGACCATGGCAGGTGTAGGTTGGGGCTAGGAAAGACCTTGTGCTTGGCTGGCTCTCTTCTTAGCATCCCACTTGGTACTGGCAGGTGAAGAGTTGGGTGGTGGGGTGTGAGCCATCACACAGCCTCAGCCCCATTCCCTCCATGCCCTGTAGCTGGATGTGTGTGTCAGTTTGTGCTACAGAAAGCGCCAGACTTCAAATAGAGCTTTTGCTTGAGGTGTCTTACAGAGCTGCCCTAGTTGGGACCAGAAAATCTGCCACAGCCTTGCTGACAGAGCTGTGCTGAATCAGAGACCAGGCCCTGTTAGGGAGAATAATCTCTTGGGAGTGTCACTGTTAGGGCCTAGGGCGCTGGTTCCTCGTAGAATCAGTAGGCAGGACAAGCCTTGCTGGTACAGCTGTAGGCTGTCCTCTGTCCGGTTGGCCTTCTTCCCTGTCACCCAAATGCTTGGCTCCTCTGTTGGCCATTAGGACCAGTGAATGAGAATCCCAGAGCTGCCCATGAATCCTGGGGCCCTTCTGTGGACAGTAAGGGCAGATCACACTGACCAAGCTGTGTCAGCAGCTACATGGAGATATACCACCTACCCCAGCAGCCTTCTTCCCTGTGGGTGCAGTAAGAGAGGGAACAGGGATTGGAGGTTTCCATCCTTGGCCTGAAGTTAGTGCTGACTCTGCTTCTCTCAGCCTCCCCGGGGAACCCATCTGTTGTCAAGAGCTGAGAAAGCAGCTTGGAACTCACAGAACGATTTCATGGTGTTCTTGCTGGGGCAGGGCTCTGGGAAGCTAGGGGTCAGTCCCTCAAGGAACTAACCCAGCTTAGTATCTGTCCTGAGTGACACATCAGTCCTTTGGCACAAGGGAAAGGGCAGAGCTCCAGGTTCAGCCTGGACAATGTGGTAAAGGACCACTTGGTCATGGGTATGCAGAATTTAAACTTCTTGATGCCTGTGCACACTGGTCCCTTTTGCAGGTGTTGGTGGAATTGGTGGCTTCAGCTAGAGCTCTTGTGGACTCCATCGGGGCTTTGATGTGTTGTGCAAGTCTACGCACTCAGTCTCAGCAGTCTTGTCATTGACAGGGGAGTGAGATGAAACTGATCCCAGTTATGAGAATTAGATGGCTAGGGGAAAATTCAAGGGCCCTGTGGTATGGGACCCACATCACTCATAGTCCCCCTCTGGAATGATTTACCTCCTTTCCCCCTGGAAAGGGAGTCATCTTGCTGTGGCTGTGTAAGGACAGCACCCCCTTCCTTTCCTACTATTTCCCCTAAGCCCCCTACTTCCTGGTGGGATGAGGAGCCCCAGCCCTGGCCTGACACACCCCATCAGAGTGCTTCTTAAATCTCAACCTGGCTTCCAGGGCCAAGCTTCCCCTGTTATACTGTCCAGGGGAGACATAGGTCCTATGGGAAAATCCTCATTTTTTTCATATTTAAAAGCCATATTTTATTAAAGCATTCATAGAAGGTGGCAGCCCCCATTACTTACAGTGGATGTAATGGTATTGGTAATATTCTTGGGTTTTCTATCTGATCAGGGAGCCTTGCTGGAGTTGAGTCCTGAGCTTGGGCCCTGCCACCATCTGGCTGCGACCCTAAGCAGGTCACCTCGCCTCACATTTATCTCCTCCTTTGTAATGGGAAGAGGAAGACTAGGTCTTCAAGGACCTTTCAAGCTTTGACAACCAGTGAGTCAAAACTAGTTAGCCCCTTAGTATAATAAACCTTCCCCCTGTTGGAACCTTACCTTCAGGCTAATACTGTGCCATGTATGCTATGTGTTATTTCATTTAACCTTTCCAACAACCCTATGCGATTGGTATTACCATTTTATGGATAAGGGACTGGAGCTGACAGCGATTGCTTGTCTGATTTGGCCAAGGTCACTTGGCTAATAAACGGTAGAGCCAGGCTTTAACCAAACCTGGTTCAGTCTCCCAAGTCCTAACCTGCTGGTTGCACTGATGAACAGTGAGTGCATACTTCAGTGGCTCATGGCTTATGTAGCTTCAGATTCTTCTTTCCTCTGGGTCTGCAGCCAGCCAGAGAGGCCCTTGTAGTCCTGCTGTGAGGCCCTTGTAGTTCAGGCCCTCTGGTCCTGTGTGCTGTAGTGGTGATTTTCTCCCTTTGAGGAAGAACTGTGTTCTTGAGTCTGTGGGTAAATATCCCCCAGCTGATCTGAGCTTTTAAATGTCTTCCACCTTAGCCTTGAACCAAATTACCTTTCTTCCTATATCCTGTTTCCTTCTCTTTAAGCTAACAAGTTGCTTCTGCTATTGTCTTCTCCAGCCCCACTCTTGTGTTGTTAAATATTCAGGAATGCTTTTTTCTAGAGTAAAGTGTAGCTAAAGAGTCACTGGCCAGAGCCACTTCCAGGGGAGGGCTGGGTAAGGTCACTTGGTTCTCACCACTCGCCCCCTCCCCCTTTCCAGCTAACCTTGAGTGAGCCTTGAGTGAGTGAGTCTCCAGCCCAGCCTCTGGTCAACAGATTCTGATTGGTTTCCCTAATCAGCTCACTATCCAAGCTGTGCTGGGACTGTCAGTTAGAGGAAATCGCTGAAGCAAACAGGAAGCCTGAGAGACACCCATCAGCTGGAATTGCTCGCCCTTTCACCAGGAAGGACACAAAGTATGAAATGGGTGACTTCATGGATTAGGGAAGAGACTCCACCTCTGGACCCTACCTCCAGGTTCTAATTCAGTTGGTCAGGGTTATTTTCTTAATGCCCAAGGTGATTCTGATGAAAAAGTTTGAGACCCACTGACCTAGAGTATCCAGAACAGATGAACCCAAAGCAAGGAAGAGCAATGTTCTTCTTTTCCTTTCTCTTTGTCTCCTGCCCTTGGCCCCAGAACTGGCTGGGCATATGCCTGTTATGCCCACAGGGCCGGAGTATTTAGGAGATTGGATCGCTCCTGTCCTTTCATATGCATTGTGGTAAAAGGCGCAGCATAACCCCCAGTCTTGCGTTCGGCCTCATTTCCTGGGAAGATATGAGATTAGGAATAGTGTTCATTCTCTGTGGCCTCTGAACCAACCATGGTTTTGATTTGGAGGGTGGGGGAAGAGAGTCTTTTGTCATGGGTCCAAAACTCTACCCATTTCAGCAGCTTCATGAAAATATCCTGGAGGAAATTCATCCTACTCATGTGTTTTTCTTGGCGCTGAAGAAACTGGTTTTTTAAAAATTACCTTTGGCCCTGTCTGTATCTTATAAGAAGCTTTGACCCTGCCCGGTCATGCGTCGCTCAGCAGTTGAGCATCAACCTAGGATCCGGGGGATCTCGGTTCGATTTCCCGGTCAGGGCACGTGTCTGGGTTGCCGGCTCGATCCCCAGTCGGGGGCATGCAGGAGGCAGCCGATCAATGACGACTCTCTCATCATTAATGTTTCTATCTCTGTCTCCCCCTCTCCGTTCCTCTCTCTGGAATCAATAAAGATTTTTTTTTTTAAAAAAAGAAGCTTGGACCATACTTTAGCTCTTAAAGATAATTTTATTTTTGTCCGAAAGAAGACATTTACTATACCATTTTTGGTTTAATTCCATCAGCTGACTGTACCCGAGGACGATTCCTGCCACTGGTTCAGGAGGAAGGATCCCCACAGTGAGATTCCCTCCCCTAGACAGCAGTCCAGCTCCGTGCATGAATTCACCTTTACCAACTGCTCCAGAGGGGAGGGCATAAAGCTTCCCGGGGCTCTGGGTGTGGTCCTCTCCTGTCTTAGACACCCCCTTGTCTGGGTGTGCCCTTCATGGCAAAATCAGCTTCCTCCGTGCTTTACTGTCTGGGAAGGTTCTCCAACTCTGTTTATGTGATCACCAAGTGGGGCCAGGAAAACCACGAGGCAGCAGGCCATAAAAAGTGCTGGGTGTGCCTACTCAGGTGTCTCTGGACAGCGTGACCAGCATCCAGGCAGAACATGTCACCAGCCAGTTTGTGCCAGGTGGAGCACCTACAGCACTTTAAAAAAATGAATACCAGGCACTCCTCCAAGTATTCACTGGAACCTTCAGGGACTGGCTGCACGTGTGATTTTGAGGTGCAGACAAAGTCAAGAGCCAGTGCATGAGTTATTTGTCTCTCCTTCTGACTTGTTAAAAATAAGATTCTGTGTGGGCAGATTTGGAAACCCACTGGTTTGATAGGGACAAGGCTTAGATATTACCTCTATTTTTCTTGTCTTGTAGGTGCTGGTAGCCACGGTCCCAACTGCTTTGGTTTTTTTGTTTTGTTGTTTTTAGAATCGGGGATTTTATCATCTGTTTCCCTCTCCCCACTCATTCATACCTCCTTCTCTAGTTCCCCAGCCACACTGTGTGTCACTTAGATTCATAGTAATAACCAATTTGTAATTCCATTATGGTTTCTCTGTGTTGCTGTAGCCCTGCCTGCCCCTGGGTGGCTCCTCCCATTGTTGGGAGTACTTAGGGACTGCAGGATCACAGTGATTGTCCACTGGAGCCAGACCTTGCTGGGCCAGCAAAGCTGCTACCACCAAAAGAGAGTCTCATTCACCCAGCAACCCAAAACCAAACATGGGGTGGGCACTGTTTCCATCTTTCTTCCACAGCAGGGAGAATGGCAGGGAGACAAACGAGCATGCAGGCAACCCCAGTTTGCCGACCAGGCTTTCTCACCTGTATGCTGGTTGGCCTTGAGCAGGGCATTTAATACCTGAACGTCAGGCTATTCATCTGAAATAGCCTTTGTTTTAAAGGTTAAAGGAGATAATGGTTGTGCAAGTGCTCAGTAAATGTTAGCTGTCTCTGAATATTATTTCATGTGGTAAGCACTCTTTGACTTCCCGGTATGTACCAGGCATTGTGAGGAAGGCATCTCAGAGAAGCCAGAAGCACAACTTTGTCTCAAGGGCCATAGAGTCTTGTAAAACCATTGATAGGAGTGAAAAGAGGAGGCATCTTAAACTATAAAATATTTCAAAACTGGCACTTCTTGTCACTAATTGAGATTCCCCTCCCCCCCCTTCTAACTTCCTTGTACTCTTGGGAAAGAGGTGGCCCCATTTCAAACCTCTTTTCCTTTGGTGCTGTCCAGAAAGGAAACTCTTGTTCCTGGTTAGTGAATCATTCTTCCTGAAGCTCAACTTTTTAAACAAGTTGCTGGGAGAACTTGGACGTGAAAAACAATTTGAGGTTGCACAAAGCAAGCCCTTTGCTGTCAGCTTCTCACACAGTGTAGACCACTGCTTCCTACAAACGTCCCCCTCCCCATTTACACCCCCGTCCTATCCCGACTGCAAGGGAATGTACTCCCCATGCTCAGGGGGCAGGTTGGGGCTGTCCTTGGGATCCTGTTCCAGAGACCCCTCCTACATAGACTCCATTATGCAAAGTGCAGTCTAATCAAAATCTTTTCTTTCAATCTTGAGTTCAAATTCTCTACAGTGTTCAGGACATGATACCTACTCACAGTACTTGTTTGTAAAACACTGTGATGTTCTGATAGCTTTTAATATACATCTTCTAGAGGCTTCTGAAGATGGGCTCCTCATCCTTCTTTTAAGTTCCAAAACTTAAAAAAAAGCTTGCACCTCCAAAGCTATCACTAACTGAGTGACTAAGATGCCCCTGCTGGAACACCAGCTGCTGGAGGTGCAAGTCTTGGTGTCCCATGTTTGTTTCCGCCACCCCCACACCTCCCCCTTGTTCTTTCTCTGCGTCACCCTTTGCCTCTGCCAATAGAGAATGGAACTGAGGTCTCTATTTAAAAGGGAAATTTGGCAGCTGTTCTGATTGCCAGCAGAGCTCTGGCTTTGGTGTGTGTTTGGTTTTGTGTGTGTTTTGTTTTTTAATGTGTGTGAGACTTCTGGCCCATAAAAATGAGATAACTGTGGGGAAGAGGCTCAGTATGAGGCTTTGATTTCAGTGTACAGTCCAGCCTCAGACTGAGAAAGTTGGTCAGTCCTTCAGGAGATGGCAGAACAAAATGACTGTTTTAATAACAACTTGCACTTGGCCAGGCCCTGGTCTCTGAGAGCCAACAAGCTTGGTCGAGCACCTTGTCTGAGGAGCTTTCTCCTGGGACTCCCTGTGCCCTGGTTGGCTTTGCTCTGGCTTTGCACAGAGGTGGGCTATGATTTTAGCTACCAGACTGCAAGCTCATTGTTTGTTGACCTAGATCCTCATGTCTTCCTGGGCGATTTTTTGGTACCCAAGGAGCCTGTTGATTCCACTGTCACCAGGCTGGCACATGCTCATTCCTCTCCTGCATGTGTTTCTCTATATGTGAATGCACACACTTGGGATAGGGAGGTCAGTGTGTTTGCTCAGAAGCATAAGCCTAAAGTTGAGAGACCACTTCTTTTTACTACTCAGATGGTTGTAGGGCAAATATATGTGTGTTACAGCCTAGTCAGGGCTCTTCTCCTAACTTCTGGGGATGGAGAGCAGGGAGTTGGGATGAGAGAAGACAGTCAGCCAGGTCATCAGGGAGGGCAGAGGGAGAGACCTGTGATTTAAGAAGGGCTCACTGCGCAACAGTCTCTGGACTAACCCAGTATTTCTGGTTTCTCCCTTGCAGTTGGAGGCCCCCGTTCCCACTAAGTGCCTCTTTGCATAGCACCGGCCCCTGCCCTCACGCTCACTGGTACCACTACAGCGGGACGGGCCATGGCGGGTCGGGGAGGTGCAGCACGACCCAATGGACCAGCTGCTGGGAACAAGATCTGTCAATTTAAGCTGGTCCTGCTGGGGGAGTCTGCAGTAGGCAAATCCAGCCTTGTCCTCCGCTTTGTCAAGGGACAATTCCACGAGTACCAGGAGAGCACAATTGGAGGTGAGTGGGCACAAGGGAGCAGGGGTGGCCTTAGGAAGGCCAAAGAAATGCCTTGGCATTGAGGAGAGGGGAGCTGCCTGCCCAGAGAGACTAAACACACCTGGGGTGGCAACATTTCTCATCTGGGCCCTGGAATCAAATCCAGTAGCTGGCCTCCATTGCCAAAGTCCCAAGAAGCTTCTAGTATAGTAAGAATTAGCTGGGAGTAAAAACTGGCTTCCTCTCCTGGTTCTCCATCTTTATTATTTGTGTGGCCTTGGCGAAGACCCTTCCAGAGACCCAGCCTCTAGGAAGGGAGAAGCTGGGTCTAGATTCCTGCTGGTTCTTACTGTGCTAGGCAGTGCATCTGCCCTGGCCTCTCCCACTTTCCAAAATGGGGAAATGGCCTGGTGAGTGGGCTGGTGCTTCCGAAGCTGACCTTTACTCGAGCTCAGAGCCTGCCATTGATTTCCAGTGGTCAGCATTTAGGATGTAAAGGTCTGGGCTCGGCCTCCTGCCTTAGTAGCCAGTACAAACCTCGAGGGTTTGAGTACCAGGGTTTGAGTCATCTTTGCTCTACTCTCTAGGTTGGTAGGAGGTTTCTAGGCAGCTGGAAACTAAATGGGCCATGTCAGCAGCCTTTTGCTGCCTCCTCAGCACTTGAGTCGGGAGCCTGAGAGGGGGAAGTGAGGCGATGCCCCGTGTCCTCAGGGAGGTGGGGGGAAGGCAGATAGGAGAGCAGACTTTCAAAAATAGAGCCCTGGGATCCTCTGTTGGGTCCCAGGGCAAAGGGGACTCCCGCCAGCCTGACCCAGCTCTGGAACTCCTCCTTGAAGCATATGCACAAGTGCTGCATGTTCCCCTGCCTCCCCAGGCCAAAGATGTGGTCACTGTGTTTCCTGAAGGTCAGGCCACAGGGTGGCTAATCACAAATGGTTCGAGGTCACAGCTGGGGGTTGTGGCTAGCCCAGCATACCTGAAGGTGGCAGGGCAGTTAGGAAGCTGGCCACTGAGCCTCCACCTGGCAGTAGAACAGTGTGTACTTTCAGGGGTCCCCCGCATAACTTAAGTGTGTAAGAGTGTCTTCAGGAAACAGAAAGCCAGCAACACCCCTGGGCTGCAGCAAACTGAGGGGACTAGGGAGGTTTCCAGCGGGACTGCTCTCTGAGGGGAGGAAGAGGAAGAAGGCAAGTGGGCCCACCCTTATGAGCTTAGAGCCAGGATTCCCCTGGGCTTTTTCTCTCCTGCCCCTTGTATCCCTCTTCAGAGAGTGCTCCTGAAATGCCTCAAGTGCAAGCAGGCTTCCCCTCTCCCACCCTTGCCAAGTGTGGGTCTGTAGAGCTTGTGCATTCCTCCATAGCCTCCTCGAAACATACAAAAATGCAAACTCTGCCTGCCCTGCTCAGGCCTGCTTTTCTGTGCCCATCTCAGCAGGCTTCTGAGTGCAGAGCCTGGATGCAACAGTGGAGATGTGTGGGGGTGGCTTCTTGAGTCCTTCTTGCCTGGTAACACCACCTTCCCTTTTACAGCGGCCTTCCTCACACAGACTGTCTGCTTGGACGACACAACAGTCAAGTTTGAGATCTGGGACACAGCTGGACAGGAGCGGTATCACAGCCTGGCCCCCATGTACTATCGGGGGGCCCAGGCTGCCATCGTGGTCTATGACATCACCAACACAGTAAAGATTTTCTTACTTCTCAGTCTTTGGTTCTGGGTGGGTATGGGCAGGTTTCCTCTGTCATTTGGGGGTTTCTCACTAGAATCTTCAGGCTGGTGACATCTTAGATACCTTGGTTCTGCCAGCTGGAGCTTCTCTAGTGAGTGGCCTTGGGCAGAATGCCTCCTCTGTCCCTTTGACATTCCAGCCCTGTCTCCCCAGGATACGTTTGCACGGGCCAAGAACTGGGTGAAGGAGTTACAGAGGCAGGCCAGCCCCAACATCGTCATCGCGCTGGCGGGTAACAAGGCAGACCTGGCCAGCAAGAGAGCCGTGGAATTCCAGGTGTGGGGGATGGACAGGACTTGGGGGAGGAGTAAGCCAGCTGCACTGGGCTTTCCCCAGGCTACTCAGGGCCTTCAGGAAGGGCCACATTGGGTGGCACAGCAGGGCCACTTTTATCTGCTCTCCTCTTGTGACATGAGCCTGGGCCAAAAGGAATTGTCATTTGCCCCTCCTCGTTTCTTGGCAATGGGGTATGTGTGCATATAGGTAGCTGAAGTTTCTGCTTACTTTTCTGTAAACTTTTTAATGAAACTTATTGAAAAAGAAATTTTTTCATGTAATACATGCACATAGTAAAATTTAAACGGTACAAGAAGGTATATAGAATTAAATTTAAGTCTCTAACCGTAGAAACTCAGTCTCCCTTCCCCCAAGTTCCTTAGTTTCTGGTCTTTCCAGAAATATGTGCATGTGCGTGAATCCCTTTCTTTACATAGATGGGAGTGTGCTTTACATGCTGTATATATATATTTTTTTTACCAGTCCCTAACTGATGGACTTTGCGGTTGTTTGTAATAGCAAAAGACTGGAAACAATGCTGCAGTCAGTATGCACATACTTCTGTGCTTTTGTTCAATGTGCAACTGTATTTGTAGGATAACTTTCTATAAGTATTTCCTAGCCTAGTGACTTTGAAGAGCAAGAAGGCAGAATGGACATAGGGACACGTGCATAAAACATCTTGTGAACTGAGAGGTGCTGTACCTAAAGTGGGGAGAAGGGTGTATAGTGCAGATTTCTTGCAGGAACCCAGAGTGGAGAGCTATAGGCCTGAAAACCCCTGCATTGTAATCAGGGAAGATTTTTTATTCTGGGCCCAGCCCCCGCCAACTCAACATTTTCCTCCTACCAACTTTCTCACCTCCATCCAAATCAGGAAGCACAAGCCTATGCAGATGACAACAGTTTGCTGTTCATGGAGACATCAGCAAAGACAGCAATGAATGTGAATGAAATTTTCATGGCAATAGGTAAGCTGCCTCTCCTCCCTCTTTCATTGCCTGCTATTCTGTAGTAAGTCTGTGGGGTCCCTTTACCAATAGATCTTCCACTATTTTCTATATTCTGATAAAGTCATTTTCTTCTTCATCTGACTCCCTGATATAGATAGTTCACCCTAGAAGCTTCTAAAACCTGGACCAAAGTCTCAACATTTCACTTCCTGACCTTTTAGCTTGCTACTCACCTAAAACCAGATATCACCATCCTCCCCACTACTTAGGATTTTTTAGCCCATTTGGCTCTGAAGTCAACCTGCCGGGTTCGAGTTCTAGCTCTACCACTTATTAACTCTCTTAAGCAGGTCATTTAATCTTTGCCTCAGTTTTCTGAAACACTCAGAATGCACCTGGCACATAGAAGTGAAGCCCTCAATATGCCAGATTCTACTCAAGTGGACTAGGGAGATGGCATTGGAGTACCCCCACAAACACATTTTTTTCCACTTCTCCCAAACAGCTAAGAAGCTCCCGAAGAATGAGCCCCAGAATACAGCGGGTGCCCCAGGCCGGAACCGAGGTGTGGACCTCCAGGAGAACAACCCAGCCAGCCGGAGCCAGTGCTGCAGCAACTGAGCCCCCCTTGCCTGCCCACTGCCCCCACCTCCTCCGCCTGAACAACCCAACTGGAATCCACTCTAACCAATCGCACTTAACTACTCG